TTGATGAATGGTTCATTTGTGGATTTAAGAGGCTGAAGAGCAAAGCCAGAAGAACTGTTATTTCCCCGCAGATGTTTAATATGCCGCTTCCTACAGGTAAGGACTCCAGGAGAGGTCTGCCTCTGACCACTGCGAGAGGTCCACCACTAGACACTATGAGGAGAGCCACCCCATGGAATACCTACCTACAGATAGTGGTGCCATGAGAGGTCCACACATGGGCACTATGAGGAGGTAACCCCTGGAAAGCCTTCCTACAGATCTGGATGAAATGAGAGGTCCACCCATGGGCACTATGAGGTCCCTCCCGGAGTCCCTGGGCACTATGAGGTCCCTCCCGGAGTCCCTGGGCCCTATGAGGTCCCTCCCGGAGTCCCTGGGCACTATGAGGTCCCTCCCGGAGTCCCTGGGCACTATGAGGTCCCTCCCTGGAAAGCGTCACCCATTTGTAGCTCACCATCTTCTCAGAAAGGGGACAATGAAAACTCGCACACCGAGAGCTGCATTGTCGTCCCTCTGTACCGGAGCAGTCCACAAGCAGCAGCCAGCACCATAACAAAGCTGCTGTGTGAACAGCCCGCAGCTTCCAAACCAGAAGATGAAACACAAGACGTGTAAAACACCGTCACTGACGCAGCAGTGAGGATACAACATGCTACATATTAACAGGAGTCACAACAAGGTCCATGCCAGTGCTACATGTCAGGAAGAGGTATCGGCCTTCGGTGGCAGCTGGAAGGAGACATCTGCCGGTCAAAGCCAGGAGGGGCAGGGTGGCAGTTGTCGGGCACTGGGGAAGGTTGGCGACCCTTGCTGGGCACGGGGGGAGGCTGGCGACCCTTGCTGGGCACGGGGGGAGGCTGGCGACCCTTGCCGGGCACGGAGGGGGTGGCGACCCTTGCTGGGCACGAGGGAGGCTGGCGACCCTTGCTGGGCACGAGGGAGGCTGGCGACCCTTGCTGGGCACGAGGGAGGCTGGCGACCCTTGCTGGGCACGAGGGAGGCTGGCGACCCTTGCTGGGCACGAGGGAGGCTGGCGACCCTTGCTGGGCACGAGGGAGGCTGGCGACCCTTGCTGGGCACGAGGGAGGCTGGCGACCCTTGCTGGGCACGAGGGAGGCTGGCGACCCTTGCTGGGCACGAGGGAGGCTGGCGACCCTTGCTGGGCACGAGGGAGGCTGGCGACCCTTGCTGGGCACGAGGGAGGCTGGCGACCCTTGCTGGGCACGAGGGAGGCTGGCGACCCTTGCTCTAGCAGTGACAGTGTGCTCAGTCGAGTATTTTTACAACGTTTGGCCAGAGATGAATGGACTACACATGCACAGTGTACACTTATAGCAGCAAGGAGGCAGTCTTACTAGAGGAGGTGACCACATCCCTTATTTCCTGTGAGGAGAGTCACCAAGCTTGTGACCACCCGTGCGGCTACAGTCCCAGGTCACCCTCCATCTTGGGCATTACAAGGCCAGTAGGGTGGGAGAGTTGAGAGAGTCCGTGGTCTGCTCGTTGCTGGTGCTCCCCCTCCTGTGGGCGGCTCCGCAGTTGGGGAAGGCCTCAGACTCCGGGTATGTGAAGACAAAGGAAGTAGTGTAGGTGGTACATGTTGGGGTGCAGGTGACAACAGGGGTGCACAGAGGCTCCATGTCCACAGACAGCGTGTTGTACAGAGGTTCCCATTCAGAGGTGTACAGTGTGCTTGTCAAATCCACGTCAGGAACAGAGCGAGCGGCATCGGAAGATCCGGTGGAAGGGGAACCGAACAAGAAGTCGTCCAGAGGCTCAGCTTTGAGTTCCAGAGATACGTCCTTCTCGGGGTCGGAAGACTGGGGGAGGCCGATGGAGAACAGGGACTCCTCTGGGGAACTGGAAATGCTGGTCACTTCTGGGATCAGAGAGAGGTCCAGAGTGGGGGTCAGGGAGGACAGGTCCAGGGTGGAGGTCAGGTCCTGGAAGGCTCCTTCCAGGTCATGTGGGATCTTGCAGGCGGGTTTATGAGCGGCGAGGATAAACTCCAACTTCTCCTTCTCCTTCAGAAGAGCCGCAATCTCGGCCTGCAGAGACGACTTATCATCCTCCAGATCGTCAGTTTCCTGAAAAGAAGAAGCCGATTGGTCAGAACATTCCGGAACTCGGGAACATCAGCGGCTACGAGGAGCAAAATGTGAACAACAGAACGCTGAAAAGATACTTACAGCTTGGAGGGTGTCTGTCAGCTCGCGGCGGCGGTTCCGGCATTTAGCTGCCGCCATCTTGTTGCGTTCTCGTCTTACTTTCCTTTTCTCTTCTTCTTCAGGAGAAAGCTATGAAAATAAAGAAGGAGAGAGCGTCAGAATACACGACGGATGCCGAGTGTCTGCGCGCGATGAGAGCAAAGTACCCACAATGTAAACCACACACACATCAGCTGGACAATTACCTGCTCAACTTTTCCCCTCCGGCCTTGGCTGTGTCCTCTTCCAGAGCCCTTCAACACTCCACTGCGGCTGTAGGCCGGAGCGGCTCCGTACGGGTGAGCTCTGGCCTGGGACGGGGCCACAGATGAGATGAGAGTCGGTTGCACCAACCACTGCAGGTCTGCTGAGGTGGAGATGGCGGTGACGGTGGGGACGAAGCTCGTGCTGGAGTCTGTGCCGAATTCCTGCAATGGACAGAGAAAAGGGATATTGAGTACAGAGCGAGAGCAGCGCCCCCCCC